TTCAGTGCGTGTGGAATTTATCTGTATCATAGCCATTATGACATCACATCGTTTTAATATTGGTTCATCAGGTGAGAATCTCTCCTATTATGATGTCACTGACCCCGAAAGACAACATTCTACACTATGGTTGCTGCAGTTAAATGGATGTGAAATCAATGTAAAAATGGCATTTTTGTCACAGAAAAATTGCTTTAAACTGTTTATTTTGGCAGTTAATGTGTTTTGCCTGCACAACACTTTATTACCCTGGAATAAATACAAATAAACATAAAAACAGTAAAAATTAGCAAGAATTGTTTTTAAAACAGTTCCTTAGTCGCTGCATTTCAGCCATCACATGAGCTTGTTCAGTTCCATCAGCATCTGATTTGACATGATAACGCACCACATAATCATGTCACACAACATCATTTCAAATGATTGATTTCACCGTATGTAATGTAGAGGAAAGAACCCTAGATCCCTAAACAAAGATGGATATATAGATATAAAACAGAATCTAACTAGTGGAATAAATGTGTTGCATGTAACTTACATCCTGTAACTGCAGACCCGCCAAGCTGTACACATTTTGCATAGCAGGTGCGCATTTTGACGTCAAAGTTCGCTGGTATGATTTGTCACTTTACACAAAAAGCTGGTGATGGTGTGAGTTCAGTTGTGCGGATAATATCGGTGCTTAAAGAACAGTGAGCAACTGCATTTTTCACTACAAAGAGCATAATTATTATAGCATAAAGACTTAGTTCAGTCTAGTATGTGAAATATTGAATAAAAATCACTGTTTTAATAGTTTTTATTATTTTTTGTGGTACTGATGACACTTTCCTATCCTGATGTTAAGTTTTTCCTATTGTGCCCAGCCCTGCTAGATACTGCAATTAGAAATTATATTTATTGTTGCAATAAACTCATTTGTCAGTCATAGAGCATCTAAAACCCAGGACGGATTAGGTAGACCATATTTATTTTTCTTCTTTTAAGTCCAATAGTAGGGGTACTTCTGTCCTAGGAAATAAAAATATCCCCTTTATTATTGAAAAAGAAGAGTATGACCCAGAAAGCAGATGTTTTTTGGTCTAAGGCTTTATCTTTGGTCAGCACCGTACAATCTTAAACATAAATGCTCCAAATGAAGATTGTCCCAAATGTATGTCTCGAATGGTTCTGCTGTTCAGTCAGTATTATAAAGGTCTCTGGCTTTTGGCAGGTGATTTTAACTGCATACTGAATGCTTGTCTGGATAAATCTTCTTCAGAACCTATGGCCAATCCAAAATCCTCCCACACTCTCAAGTTCTTGTGTCAAGAGTTGGGTTTAGTGGATGGATGTTGGGAATTTCACTCCACAGATAGGAACTACACATTTTACTCTAATCCACATAATTCATATTCCAGATTAGACTGTTTCTTTATACCTTTCAAGCTTATGCATGTGGTGAGAAGTTGTAGGATTGGCTCTTTTGTATTGTCAGTCCATAGCCCAGTCTATCTGGAGATTGACACTGACATGATAACTCCAAGATCAATTTACTGGAGGTTAAACTCCTCATTATTAAATATGGAATCATTCTGTTCATATACCAGAGAGAAAATATCCCAGTACTGGCAGGACAAACAGCATTCCCTACATCATCAGCAACCATATGGGATGCTTTTAAGGCTACTTTACGAGGTCACTTCATTGCTTACACATCCTTGCAGGTGAAATTACAGGCACAAAAAAGGAAAGACCTTGTTTAAGTTATTTGTTTAGAAAAACACCATAAATGTACACCATCGCAAACCAACTGGAACCTACTAACAAGCGCAAAACTAAGGCTTAATATGGAAAATACAGATCAGGCAAAAAAATGTACATTTCTTACTAAACAAAAATATTATGCATTTGGAAACAAACCAAGTCGTCTTCTAGCATATCAGTTGAAAACAATGCAAAATAAAAGATCTATAAAGGTGATAAAAATGTCATCCAGATCTATGACCTATGACCCCCACTTGATCAATAATACGCTTAAGAGACTTTTCTAAATTGCTTTATACATCCGATTGCTCAAGTTCAATTGAGGAGACTATATCTTACCTAGATGGGATCCCTCTGCCCACTATTTCGGAAGCAGGCCGAGCTATTTTGAATGCTGGATGACCTTTAGAGTTCTATAAGGTGCTCTGGCCTGAGATAAGTCCTATATGAATGCTTGTTATTAATGAGATGTTGGAATATAACACAATCCTGGAGTCATGGAAATTGGCATCAGTTCAAAGAGATTAGGACATTCATCCTACCGTCCAATTAGGTTACTTAATGTTGATTTTGGAATCTGTGCTTCTTCATAGAATTAAGCCACACTGGACTGGATTTGTGAAAAGAAGATGTGGATCTGACAATTTAGGGCATATTTTAAATTATAATATAAATATACATGCACTCAATAATTGGATTTCTGCAGTTATCCGATTATTCAAATGGACATGTAAACACCATACTCTGATCTAGAAATCTGATTAAGAAATTCGATGAAGAGAGCTGGATTTTAGCTCATTCATCAGATTTCTCAGTGCATGTGAACTCTTACTCTGATTTCTATCGGATTTCTCAGTCTGCGCATGCGCAAGAACAGACGGTGGATGTCGCCAGATGGCAGCAAAACACTGTGGGAGCGGTGCTGAAACCAAACATGAAATAAAGGATTTGAATATTCTTCTAGATGATGTAAGTTCATAACTTCCATGACGAAGTTTGAGTTTTACATTATGTTTATGTCACGTCTTCTTCTGTGAGTCTATTGGCTGGTTGCAAAGCAGAAATCCGATTATTATTTCTGCAGTTATCGGATTATTGAGTTCATGAAAAAACACGCTCATTGATCATTTAAATAGGATTAAAGTCCTGGCAGTGGACGTTTCATTTAATTTAGGCCCCAGTTTTATCTAATTAATTAAGCTTTTATATTCTAACCATGGCCTCTATTATTACAAATGGTCTTTCGTCTGTTTTTCAGTTCTCTGGTCAATCTCTGGTTTTCAGTGGGCAGAGATTGTTGTCTAGGCTGCCCACTTTCACCCTTATTGTATACGTTAGTAATGGAACCTTTGGCTGAATCTATTAGAACAAATACTGATATATCAGGTGTGACTGTTGGGATGCAAGATTGTCGCATATCTTTATTTGCTGATGATGTGTTGCTGTACTTGACAGATCCATAGACCTCAATGTCTGCTGTCTTAAATGTGATTTTTCAGTGTAGTAAATTTTCAGGTTACAAAATTAATCTAAATAAATCTGTGGCAATGCGCTTAAAAATTCCTTCCAATATTATATTGAATTATCCTTTTTATCCAGCTGACTCAACCAGTTGTTTACTGAAAACTATCCACCAATAATAAATAAAATAAAACAAGATCTGGCTTAATGTGGCTAAAACGAGTGATCTCCCACACCTGAATTATTTATTTATGTTCCCTGCCATTAATCCAGGGAATATATATTTTTCAAAAGGCTCAATACCCATATTTCTAGACACTTATGGAACCATAAAAACACATGTATCACATTACTCAAACTTTTCAAGCCCAAAAATATTGGTTCAGCATTGCTACCTGACATGTAGCTCTATTATTGTTCTACCCAAATGAAACATATGACAAGTTGGTTTCAGAATAGACGTGACCTAACAGACCTAATTAAAAATTACTGATTTTCTGGTGGAATTGCTTGCTATTGAATAGACATAGTCAAAATCACAGAATGTCTGCATCCAAACGTACATTTGCTTTACGCCTTTGGAGACACAAATACAACAACAGCATATCATAACAACATCATGGGCCACTATAACTATTTGACCAACTTAAGTCATCTAACTCTTGCCATTGTCTGTCCAAACCAGCCTTGTTTTGCTGTATTATAATTCTGTGACTTGTATCATAGATATGGTCTCTTTTTGCTTCTTTTATAGAGATGTTTCATTTTTTTGGGAATTGCTATCACCTACTAAAGAAAACCCACACAATGGTTTAGGATGTTCCCCCTAAAAATGGTGATGTCTGGTTACACACTGGTACCCAGATGTACCACACTGCATATGTGCTAACATTCACTGAATCATTGTGTAGCAGAGTGCATGTATCTTGAGAAAGTGCTTGTCCTCGCCATGCTCTTTCAGCAGACACGAATTGGATGAGGGATCCAAACACTTTGTTTTGAAAACAAAAATCTACCACGTAGATCAAATAGTATCTAGAACATGACATTGTGGTTAACTTTGGGGACAGGAGAACTTAAACCATGAGTCCATCTCCACACATAGAATAAGTGACAATTCTATTTCGCCATCGTAACTGCTTTTTATAACATTTTTGTCCTTTATATCTTGGTGACTACAGGAAGGAATGCTCCAACGAAGGACATCCAGATGTTCCTCACTTCAACTGTGCTTCTTGATCACGCCATGCCTGGTTAAATGGATCTCTGACGAAATCAGCAGCATCCCTTGTTCAATCCATTTTAACAACATGAGTTCCTCACACACTGCCTTGGGTTTCCTGGAAGCACACAAACAAACGAATAGCAGCAGCAGTATCTGATGGCGATCATACACACACACACACACACACACACACCCACACACACGTTTGTCTTGCTATACATATGAGGACATCCAAAGGTTTCTATTGATTCTTGTGTTACTGTAGTTAAATAATACTTCACCTAAACCTAACCCTAACCTTAACCTCAATATCCAAAAGGCAAATTTTCTGCTCTTTTAGTTTTCAAATAAAAAAAGTAATTGCGGTGAAAACAACACGTTTTGCTGGTCCTCACTTGAGCAAAAATGTCATGTACTTCTATCATAGTGAGGACATATGCTTATAAAGAGCCACGTCCTCACAAGTATAGCAATACAAGAACAACACACCACAGAGAGAGAGAGAGAGAGAGAGAGAGAGAGAGAGAGAGAGAGTGTACAGTGGGCCTCATAGAGATACAAAGAATGACCCTCTGCGGCTGCCGTAGATGCTAAGTTCCTCCACACCTACTTTCTCTGCTGCTGTTTGGAAGGTGATTATTCTGATTTTATTTAATAGTAATTTATCAAAAATGTGTTTAATTGGGTCGAGGTGCTAAATAAGCACTTTTACTCTCTGCATCTGCTGTGATGTAAGGAAATCACGGATAAACTGGCTGTTATTTCGATAATTAGCAGTAGCATTAGCCTTCTGGTTGAGCTGCGAGTCTCACGAAGCTTGAACTTTCCGTTCCACCTTAAATGGTGCCGCAGTTACATTAGTCATAGCCTGCAGCCTCAATATAGCAAGAATGCAACCGTTTCAACATTTAAGGTGGAACGCACATTTGGAAAAAGAAGTTGGGGAACAAGAAGCCAACTTTAGCCTTGTGACTCTAATATAGAGGTGTGATCACGAAAATCGACAAATTTAGGTTTCTGCTGTGTAGTAAAACAAAGTAAAATATTTTCGTGAGTATTTTTAAGCTTCCACTGCTGAAAGGAAAGCAACAGAAGCCATTACAAGTTTCTGTTGGTTGCTGGTGGTGTCCAATAGTCACAAATGGTATTTTACGTTTTCCTGATGGGTTGATATCACAGTGTAAAGGATTCTAATGGTTTAACAGGTGTTCTGGGACTGATTCAAGATGCCTTTGATGGTTTCCAAATGGGATATCCTACAGGAAACTAGTGGTCTCTAATTGTAACCATTGTGGAGCACGGGACATTTTATTCTTATCGTTAATTGGGTAAAATGACATCATAAGTGGGTATAATGAAAAGATTAATTGCTGCCAACTTGTACTGTAGGTGTGTCAAGTGCTGTGTGTCTGCTTTCTCTCTTTCTGGAACACAGGAACCAAACCCGTGTCCTCCAGTAAAAGGAACTCATACAGTTCTCTGAAGGGAACTATGTAGGACCTATATTTTAGACAGAAATGAGGCACTACGTGCCACAGTGAAACTTAAGATGTCTGTCTACCCTCAGATCCCTTTCGGAGGATGACGGCTGCAGTGAAAGCGCTGACACTCACCCGGGCTCTCACTTTTTGGCCAGCTAGAGCACTTATAGATGTGAGACAGCTGGACAGGTATGGAAGAGGCAGAGACATCCTTAGAAACTTCTCTGTAAGCTGCCAGCTGTGTGGGAAACCGCGCGGAAGTCCAAAGAAGAAAGAGCTCTCAGAGAAGAAGCTGGTAAGTGGCCCACAGACTACCTGAGCCTTTAGTTGTGCAGACAAGAAGCCATAGCAGTTAAATTTTTGTTTACCACTCGGTGTGACGGGCAATTTTTGAAAAACACAATTAATTTTTGTCATATAAAAACCAGCTTAGATGTTAACTACGCAATGACAGACAACTATTCTAACAGATTTTAATACACTACAGGAAGTGTAGGATTTAATACAGCTTCTATTGTTTCATTTAAAAAGTGCTCTATAATGTTCATATGATCCACACAGTCATTCTGACAGACTGTAATACACTCCTGAAACAGCCATGTTTATCAATAAATAACATCTTTTGAAATGATTCCTCTTCTGTAACTTTTTCTTGTTTCTTCTCCCCTCAGACGCGCTACTTCGTCGACCATCGCAGGGTGAAGTTAGAGGCGGGTTCAGGCGGTGATGGAGCGTGCAGCTTCCACAGTGAGCCGCGGAAAGAGTGGGGTGGTCCGGATGGGGGGAACGGCGGAAATGGAGGTGACATCATCATTAAAGGTAACGCTCGTACCACTTTAATGTAAACACTGCGCATAGTACTCATTAGAACAGTGCAAAGCAGTTCTTATTTATGCATTACATTAGAAAAGATAAGGCAATATTAAAGGTACAGTTGTATGAAAATGTTTGCACAAACCCTCCTGTTGTGTGTTTTTTTTTATGTTCTGAGTGCCATAATGTTTACACAGCCTGCATTTTATGTTATTAAATGATTAAGTTCAGCAAATGAACAGTAATTGCGCATTAAATTGTGCAGAAGTATGTTATCTGTAGATCAGTAGACACCAACCTTTCTCTTGAAAAGCTTAGTTCCAGCCTGCGTCTAACATGACGTGTAAATTTCTCTAGAATTAACCATTTCATGTCAAACCACTCTGAATGACTCTGTTTGTATCTCACGGACTGAATTATTCAGAAATTTTGGAATATTGGTGGAATTCCCCTTTAGTGCATCTGATTTAGCCAGTCAACAACTTCTGAAGAAGTTAATTAGCTGGAGCAGGTGTGGCAGGTTGTGGTTGGAACCAGACTCTGCAGGACCAGGGTTGGTGACCACTGCTCTAGAGGATATGTTAACTTAACTTAACTTTCCGTTTTCACTTACAAAGTCAACAAAACATGGAAATTGACCAGGGGTGCCCAAACTTTTGCATGAAAGTGTATTATGTGCATTATATTTTGTAAAAACATGAATACATTTTGAATGAAATGATATTAGTAAACATGCAAAGTTGCATGCTTATCATGGTGCATAAAACTGGAAATCAGTATTGGCTATGAATATGCAAATCGACACATTTACAGTGTTACAGCATAGTTAGTGACATTGATAATCGCAGCAGCCCTAAGTTGAGTGTCTGACCAGCGTGCTACAGACTTGTCTTTCTGAAAACGTTGAGTAAAAAGGTATCATTGAGTTGCGGAGTTGCAGTGAGTCATGTGACCGTCGCTGAGCTGATAACATGCGGCTTACCAGTAAATCAAAAACAAGCTCCTTAATGCACCTTTAATAAAACAGCAGAAGAATTGTGCATGAATTGCACTGATTCAGAGTCGAGCTGTAAATGAACGTTTCCATCTGCAGTGGACCGGCAGGTGAAATCACTCTCGCACATCTCAGCCTCGTATCGTGGACAGAATGGCGAGTCGGGGAGGAGTAAGAACTGCTACGGACGCAACGCCAGCACCACATACGTATCAGTGAGTTGATTTTAGAATACAGACTTCATCATAGAGCTTTATCACATTAGAGAATACAGAGCTTTATCACAGTAAAGTATACAGAGTTTTATCACATTAGAGAATACAGAGCTTTATCACAGTAATGGATACAGAGTTTTATCACATTAGAGAATACAGAGCTTTATCACATTAGAGAATACAGAACTTTATCACAGTAAAGTGTACAGAGTTTTATCACATTAGAGAATACAGAGCTTTATCACAGTGGAGAATACAGAGCTTTATCACATTAGAGAATACAGAACTTTATCACAGTAATGGATACCGAGTTTTATTACATTAGAGAATACAGAGCTTTATCACATTCATATTGTTAGATAAGCAGTACAGCCTATACAGGACGTCTGCATCTAATAATTTCACTCATCTGTGTACCATTACACTCATGTAATCTATCTGTCTGTCTGTCTGTCTATCTGTTTATCTGTCTGTCTGTTTATCTGTCTATCTATTATGTGGAGATAATCTTAACGTCTATCTATTATCCATAATTGGTTAAACATATTTAATATACTTAACTAGATCACTGTCTAATATAAACTATTCAGTAACTGCTGTGAATTATTGATTATCCCTGTGAAGTATTCAGTATAAAACTAAGGCGTAAATGTGTAAGTTTTCTAGTTATGGAAGTGAGGAACTACAGACCCTCATAGTTTAAGAGGCTAAATGATTAGGACTGGAGGGTCATTTCAGCTCTAAAACTGTTTATTTTATTATATTTTTAAACATTTATGTCTCAGTGTGTTTAATGGGCCTGTATGTGTGTGTAGGTGCCTGTGGGCACTGTGGTGAAGGAGCAGGGCCGGACGCTGGCTGACCTGGCGCTGCATGGTCAGGAGTACGTGGCTGTGCACGGTGGCGGAGGAGGAAAAGGAAACCGATTTTTTCTGTCCAATGAAAACAGAGCCCCAATGACGGCCACTCCAGGAGAGAAAGGAGAGGAGAGAGTTCTGCAGCTGGAGCTGAGGACCATGGCACACGCTGGACTGGTGAGAGAGTGAAAGAGAGGACGGAGAGATGGACAGATTCATGTGTTTTAATTCAGAATTATCCATTAAAACAAGTGGAAATCAGAAATCACAATTCAGAATTTCAATTTCTGGGTTCTGTGACTTACAGAAAATATGCAAATACACAAATTGTCTGCTTTTTGTACTGGCCTTTGATTTGGTGGTACCTGCCTGTTGCAGTGGTTGCTGTTTGAGGCTAATACATTCTTAATGGAACAGTAATTTTCCCAGATCAATTTATCATTGATGTTTACCCTACATATCACTGATAAGCCAAAACATGTTTAGATTGGCTCATACATTTTGCACTGGAGCAATAAACCTGGACTGGGTTCCACCAAGTTTATACGTAAGTTTGGGCATAAAGTCTTTACTGAGTTCTCAGTTACACTAGTTAGTTTGAAACTATCTCAGATTTGGTTGCACCACAAATCAGTAAGTCATGTCTTAACTAGTAACAACTAATGCATATGTTGCTTTAACATGATGATAACATGTTCACAACCGATCAGTAAACTCACTGTCATGGAAACGCGACTTAATGAAAAAAAATAAAAAATCCAGCATAGAAGAGAACGATGTGTACAAATTAAACTGAATAAAACAAATGATCTACAGCCGCTGTCTGTTTATTCTTTAATATTTCCCTGAGAAACCAAATATGCAGCTTTGTAAACGCTGGTTTCTGGCTGACCGACACAACAGCAGCCTCAGTTTAGCTGTTTGTGCAGCTGCTGAGTTTCACTGAGCTGGAACTGTGGGTGTTTAGTTTCATGCTCGGAGAATAAACCAGGCTGATCATAAGAGCTGTGAGGAAAATCACAGCATACAGTGTTCAGAGTTTTTAGCTTAGTTGACCAAAAAGTCACTTTTTTGATCTTTTTTTGTGTTTTCTGTGTGGTTTCTGATGGTTTCCCCAACACTTACACCTGCTGAGGGGGGGTCTAGATATTTAGTAACTTCTAAGCGTAACGTTAAAACTAGATTTTGTTGCAGGTCATTCTGATTTGGTAATGCATAAACCTGACTTTAGTAAACACTTACATTACAACTAGCCTACGTTTGAACGTTTGCCTTCACTTTGGGGCATAAATGTCAAAACTTGAATGTGAGAAATCGAGGAAAAATGAATGCTAATTTCTTCTAGCTTTTTTATGGAATTTCTAGTAGTATGTTAATGCTACTGCACATAGACGTTTGTTTGCTGTTCTAGATTAAACAGGCGTTTAAAGACATTCCATATGTTTTATCTGATGCTTTAACAGACGTTACCGTATATCTGAGCTTGTATGTATCAGTTTTAAAGTCACTCTTTTAGTAAAGAATCCTGGCATAGAGCTTCTGCCACTGTTTTCCATTCCAAACAACTAACCCAAACCTGCTTAGGCTATGGATCATATGTACAGTCACTGATGTATCTAGAACCTCCAGAAGGCCTAGAGTGATGTTATTTCTCACCAGATTGGTCCCATTTTAAATCTAAAGCATGACTCATTGATTCCTCAGTCACTTCCTTTTTATATTAGTAGATTATGGCCTTCAGTCCAGCTCCTGAAGTCCTGACCAATGGGAGAAATCGCTTAGCTAAATCTCCCTAGAGACCACAGAGAAAAGAATCCTCATTGGATAATTATCTGGTGGGTGTTTGATGATTTTAACCATTTTGTTTCCAACCAAAGTACAGAAGTACAAAAACAAGCCCGATCATTCTATTAATTGAAAATTAATTGAAAGTTACGAACGTTTCTAGAAATCATTAGGCGTTCTCTGAAGATCTAGAAGATTCCCCACTGTAATCTACCTATTAGCATGGTGCTAACTAGACATACTGTTACCAGTAAACATGGACTAAAATGCAACGCATAGCTTAAAACAGCAGCAGCATTTGAAAGCTTGAATTTTGTCTCTATTTCAAATATATTTCTCACCGTATGTTTCCAGGTTGGTTTTCCCAATGCAGGGAAGTCGTCGTTGCTAAGGGCGATCTCTAACGCCAAGCCTGCTGTGGCAGCGTATCCTTTCACCACCTTGAACCCGCACATTGGCATCATCAAGTACAGAGACCATGAGCAGCTGGCAGGTATGGGTGACTCAGCTGAACTGGGTCAAAGTTAGAGCTGAAACACATTTGGGACTTTTAACTCACTTGGACTTTAGACTAAAATCCTTTTGCTTTGAGTGACCCTCTACTGTAATTATGTTTATCTTATTAAAACCAATGACTAAACATTCCATTATGTCAGTACCGCAGCAGTCATAACACTACTCAAACTTTACCAAATGTTTTAGTAGTGACTGTTTCGGTAGTGACAATTTTAGCCCATTTTGAGCAGAACTCAAAAACACAGCCAGTACATGAGCAGCAAACACAGCTTTGAACAGGTGTGTACACACACAAAATCATCATATTTTTCATGAATACACAAAAAAAGTTTAATTCATTGCAGACAATGTGTTTCAGGAGTGACAATTCTTAATGTTCCACACTGATTTTCAGACTTTCAGACACATTTACTTCAAAACAATGGGACTAACTGCTCGCCATGTGTGGGACGGGGATGGAGTTTCACTTCCTGCTCTAAAATGCAGAGACATTTTTTATTTAAGGATTAAACAAATGAGAAATCAAAATCTGTCAACTTCACTTTAAAATAAATCAAAAAGATCTTTAAAAAATAAAAAAAATACAAAAATGTAAGTATTATTTTCACAAGTGTAAATTTAGGGATTAGGGTTCGGGACAGACTCCTCCCATTAGAAAGAACCCTATAAATGATGATTAAGATTATGGTTTTGTTTATATTTAGTTTATTACTATCTCTATTAATTCTTTGATTTTAAACAGATCATAACATAATCTTTGTAAATATCTAAGCTCTGAATACTTCTTCATATTCAGAAATTAAAAAAAAAAAAAAATAGAATTCCCTGTTTAATAACACCCAAAAATGCAATAAAAAGCAACCGTCATCATTGCAGTCAATGTTATTTATTAATTTAATTTTATTTTTTTTATTGATTCATAGTCCTGCTAACTAACACACTTTTTTGGTTGATTTGATGGAGTTTTGAATCCTGTTGACCATTTTTTTTTTTTAAATTTTATTTATTTATTTTTTAAAATCTCTCCTGCAGTGGCCGATATTCCTGGGTTGATCCGGGGTGCTCACCTGAACCGCGGCCTCGGCATCTCTTTCCTCCGCCACATCGAACGCTGTCGTTTTCTGCTGTTCGTGTTGGACATGTCCTCTCCGTCGCCGTGGGAACAGCTCCAGCACTTGCAGTACGAGCTGGACCAGTACGAACCAGGACTGTCCCAGAGACCCAGAGTTATTGTGGCCAATAAGATGGACTTGGCTGGAACCCAAGAGAACCTGGAGGCCCTCAGAGGTCATGTGAGTCAGCGGGTCATTCCTGTATCTGCCCTTACGGGCGACAACACGGAGGAACTGATACTGCACCTTCGAGAGCTGTACGACGGCTACCTGGAGAGCAACGCCGAGTCTGGAGAGAAGCCTTTGAGGTGGTAGCTGCTTAAGGACATTTGGAGAATTGAATGATACTATTATAACAACACTTGCCTCAAAACATGTTAAGTGAAACGTGTCGAGTTGTTAAGAAGTCTCAAATAGACTTGATCTAAAAGGAGTCTTCAGTCTCTCAAGTGTCAGTCAATCAGAGAAGCCCCTCGCTTGTCCAAAAACGTCCTACTTGGAATAAAACAAACACCCTGTGATCACGTTCTGCTGGTTTATGGACAGAGGAACTGTTTCTCTAATGGACTAATGGCCTCCAAAATTTTGGAGGTGGAAATCTATTGAGCATGACTGTAAATTGTTGACTTGATATTTCTGCAACTATTAATTGTTGTTATTTATTCAGTATATTTATTAAATTTATTTCTGTATAAAAATAGAGCCAAATGACTTGTCTTTTTTATTAGAATATGCAGTGACAAATTGATATTTATGTGCATTCTCTGCAATATTTTTGCAAATATCAGTAACACAGTGGCTTGTCAATATCAGCCGATATTATCATTCAAACTGAAGTGTTCTTGCTCTGCTGGGGAATAATGTGTGAATATACAGTTGTATGCAAAGGTTTAGGCGCCCCTGGTCAAGTGACAAGTAAACACTTTCTTTACAGAGAACACACTTACGCACATTTTAATGCAGTGTTTATTTGCTTAATTTGACATAGTTTATCATTAAAATGGTGAAATATTTGCAAAATATTGAATTTTGGAAATCCATGATTGCCTCACAGAACCCCTTACGATGCCATATTTTGCCTTTATATTCATATCCGTATTGCCAGTGCTTAATTCTAATAAACATTCAATTCATTTGAATGCAGTGCAATTTAATTTGTTAGTTTCATTTTTCAGGCTGTGCATCAGAAAGTGCATCAATGCAACACATTTTTGAAAATATCTGGTAAACCAGTGGCCTCACAGTGCCTGTATGATGTCATAAAAGCATTTTATTTTGCTATTCTTGTTCCCGATTGCCAAATTGCTACTAGTTATCGATGCTTTTGAATGCAGTGCATTTTTGCAATGCTACCAAATAAGCTCATGCAGTCCATTCATGCAAAGTGTAAGCACATTTTTGGAATGATGCAGTAAAATAACTGCTTAACAGTCACCTTATGGTGTTTATTTTGTGTGTATGTTTCTCATTTCTCCCCCTAAATGGCTGCTGGTAATGTATTGAATGCATTTAGGTGCATTTTATTTCATCAGTCCAATGCAATGAAAATGCAAACACTTGCAGTGTCATGCTTGTTTATAATGGTCCAGCAGGGGGCGTTGTGTGGCTTTGCTGTGGCCCAGTCCCTGCTGTAATGCTGAATGAGTGTTTACTGTGTTGTTTGCTGACTGGATTTCCAGATTTGCGCAGGGGAGGGGTCAGCAGGTCAGATGAGCGGTGAGTGGCCATAAACTGATATTTCATATACATAAACACAGAGAGTGAAGCAGAAAAGAAGGGTGTAGAAACAGATTTAATGATCAAGCTGGTGTGTCACTTTAATTCCAGAGCTGAAATGCGACCTCTTTACTATGTGAGGTGCTTGTGGTCTGTAAGAGCTGTTGGCGACTGTTTTCTGAAGGCTGCATCCTGTGATTGTAACAGGATGATAAGAGAGAAAGAAACTGTACTGGGTTTCAGTCTTCGCTCCCCACAGGAAGTTGGGGTCGTTCATTTGTTGTGGTGATTTTCTACACTGAATCGTCCATCGGACTTGTAACTACACTCCTTGGCCAGTATATTGGAAACACTACTATGTACAATTACAGACTGTAGCTCACCTGCAGTTTATCAGACCCCCCACTGCCCAAAAATATCCAGCCAGGAGCAGCTCTGTGGTCAGAAACTGACCAGTGATGAAGGACTAGAGGATGGCTAAGACAAAGTGTGCATCTGCAGAGTATCTACACCAGTGTGGTGGAGCTGCAAGGAAGGGGTTTCTGATAAAGTGGCCAGGGAATGTACACAGTGTTTAGAAACTCCACCACCACAACAACCATGTCAGTTCACTGTGTGCAGAGAACGGTCAACCACACAAATAATAGCTGGACTTGTCTGGGTCTGGGATATGTTAGATGGTAAGCAAACAGTTGGTTCTCACACTTGATGTTTTGGAATAGGCAGGTGTGAAGATCTGAGCCAAATCAGCCACTTAGTCCATCGAGTCCTGTTTCCTTTTCCGTCACGTGGATGGCCGGGTACATGTTCGCCGTTTTCCTGGGGAAGTGATGGAACCAGGATGCACTGTAGGGAGAAGGCAAGCTGGTGGAGGGAGTGTGATGCTCTGGACGATGTTCTGCTGTGGATCCTGGCTCCGGCATTCATGTGGACATCAAATTGACATGTGCCCTCTGCCTAAATGGCATTGTAGACCAGATACACCCCTCCATGGCGATGGTATTCCATGGTGGCCACTTTCAGCAAGATCATGCGCCCTGCCACACTGCAAAATTGTTCAGGAATGGTTTGAGGAACATGATGAAGAGTTCAAGGTGCTCTCCTGGCCTTCAAATTCCCCAGAGCTCAATCTGATCCAGCATCTGTGGGATGTTCTAGTCCAATCCACAGCAGGTCTGTCTTACCATACCTTGGAATATGAGACAGGGGAATGAGTGATATGAATGTGATCCTACTTAGAATATTCCATTGACTAACATAAGTGGTGTGACGTCATAAGCTTTGGGATGTTTGCAAGGGGAACGTTGGTTCATTCTGACAAATCACTTACAGTGCAAACTGCATCCTTATGGAGGAGCTTGGTTTGTTAGAACACTAGCCTGGAGGGAAAGCTACTGTTTGCTGACCAATCTCATGTTTTCTTTGCTGGTAACGTGCACTCAGCCGGAAGCTATAAGTACTCAATGAGGCCATATCAGCACATATGGGAATCGGCCCAAGCTCCTGCCAACTGCCAAGTGTAACCCGCAACTGGCCCGAGCCTACGAATGCACACCTGGGTTGCATCAGTACATATGGGAATCGGCCCGAGGCCCGTTTGCAAGCTCTTTGGTTGCTGAGTGTCACCTATACTGCTATCTAGGTTTATATTAGATTAGAATAGATTAGATTAGATTCAACTTTGTCATTGTGCAGAGTACAGGTACAGAGCCAATGAAATACAGTTAACCAGAAGTGCAAAATACAGTATTATTTACATAAAAATTGCAAGAAAGTAACCGACAATTGACATTTACAATATGTACAAATCAAGACGATAGATTGGCATTCTTGTAATGGGAGTTGATTTTTTTCCAATTAATTGTGGATCATTTCTGTTGGTCAGTTCATCATTTTATTTTAAGAGAATTCAGACAGTAACTAGAGTTTTCAATTTGTGGAAAAAATGACAAAAAGGGAGGTGAGAGCGACATCATATGTGACTTCACTTCTTTTTAACTTTCCACCTTAATTGTTCTTTTCTTTCGCTGTCTGCTCACAGAGGTATGGCGCCATAAGTGAACCGCTGGCCTCTTAAGTCGTTAACTCATGCTAGGTTTGACGTATTTTATTTGTCAATGATTTTTTACTATCAACATTATTAATTATGTATTTTAAGCCTAATTAACCAGTGGTATGTAGTTAGCTAGCAAATAACAGTCCTATGCAAACGTTTTGGTGCCCCAATCTAATTCTACATTGTTGATTTTCTAAGTGTAAATAAGTTTACACATCCTTTACAGGGACACACTTCTGCCTAATCTAATGCACAATTAGTGTTTATTTGCTGAATTTAATGTATTTGAGAAAAATAAAAACAAAATGTAGCCTGTGCAAAGCTTAAAGTACTACATGGAAATATATTGTATTTTTTCCAATGTGTTAAATTTAGCTAATAAATATAATTTGTACACTAAAGAAAAATTACATATTTATGTGTAATCTGTGAAAGAAAGCTATTAGCAATCTACTGCCCTCTTCAGGGCAGTCGTCACTGGACAACACTGAAAATGTAAATAAAAAATTGACAATGGAAATATTTTATTATATTATAGAATACAACTTTTTTATTGTGGACATTATCGATAATGTTGAATAACTGTTTGGGTCTTACAGATCAGCCTTATTTTTTATCTTCTTGTGCACAGGCCATCATGTGAAAGCAATGGACGATGAGACTGAAAAGAGAGCCAGAGTTCTGTGGGATTACCTGTGTCTCCGGCAGTCATTAGAAAAGGTACAGCAGCGTTCTCATATCTCTCCCTACAGCTCCAGATCATCTGTTTTAGGCTGTGGGTTTCAGTTCCGCTTATGAGGAACCCTGTTTTGGACTTATCAGGCAGTTATTGAGCTCTTGAGATGATTCAGCAGGGTGTAGCATCCCCAGCACTGGAACCGAGAATGAATGTAATAAAGTGATATGATGCAAAAAATCTAATTTACCCCAGTTTTCCTTAATTTAACCCTAATTTGCATACCCAAATGCGGCAGATTAGCCAAGACATGTTTAGTGTTTTGGGGTCAGTTTCTTTAGTTTTACACTGGAGTTACAAGGCTAACAAGTGATGGGAGATAATACCCCACCAGAATCAAAAATTGAAATCGATTTTGGAAATCATGGACACTGTGTCCTCTGGGCTAAAGACCAGTCAGCTTGTCATCAGTGCACAGTTCAAAAGCCAGTATTCGTGATGGTATAGGGGTGCATTAGTGCACATGGCATGGGTGACATGCATGTCTGTGAAGGCACCATTAATGCTGAACGATATATACATGTTTTGACAACAAATGCCTGCCATCCAGATGACGTCTTTTTCAGGGAAGGCCTTGATTATTTCAGCAAGGCAATGCCAAACCACATTCTGCAAGTATTACAACAGCATTGCTTTGTATTAAAAGAGTCTGAGCGCTAAACTGGCCTGCCTGCACTCAAGAATGGAAAAAACTGCAAATAAGACCCTGAACTGTTAAACAGCCGAAATCTTATATCAAACAAGAACAGGAAAAGATTTCACCTTTAAAACTACAGCAACTGGACTCCTCAGTTCCCAAACGCTTACAGAGTGTTGTTTAAAGAAGAGGTGATGAAACAGAGTGGTAAACATGCCCCTGTCCCAACCTTTTTGGAATGTGTTGTTGGAATCAAATTTAAAATGGGCATATATTTTTCAAAAACAATAAAATATCTTAGTTTTAACATTTGATATGTTGTCTTTGTAGCATATTCCTGTAAAAATATGTTTTAAATGATTTGCATATCATTGCATCCTGTTTTTATTTACATTCTGCACAGTGTCCCAACTTTACATTAGCCTTGTTGGTAATGTTTTATAATTTTTTTTTTTGTGAAAATCTTTTTGACATGGCTAGATTGTGTTTAGTTTTCTGAGCAGACTCTGATTGTTTGCAGAGTGATGTGATCATCGGTTTGGGCTGCCATGACCTCCGGGTGGCGGAGAGGTCAGCTCAACTTTTCCTGGATGGATGGGCCCCTTACCTGCTCTTCACTGGTTACCTGGGAAAACAAACTACAGGTCAGTCCAAGTGAATGAAAGTAGCTTCAGTAGCTTCATAGTGCAGTAGTTATTAGGAAAGAACAGTAAACAGGCCAAGTTCTAACATTTACTGATTTTCTTTTTCTTTGGCTTTTAAAACAGTTCAAATTAAATAGAAGATCACTGGAGGGAGGAACTTGATCTCTCAAGTGCCATAGAAGCACTTATGAGTTCACTTTCCAAGACATTCATAAAGACAGAAATATGTGTAAAACTTTAAAGGGTCAAAGAACTTTACTTTAAAGGGCCGAGACAAAGTACAACCCAAATTCCCAAAAAGTTGGTACGCTGTGTAAAATGTCTGTGAACACAGTTTGCCGTGCAATCCACAAATGCAAGTTAAAGCTGTATCATGCAAAGAAGAAACCATATGTCAACATGATCCAGAAACGCTGCCTCTGGGCCTCTGCCTCTGGGCCAAAGCTCATTTAAAATGGACTGAGGCAAAATGAAAAACTGTTCTGTGGTCAGATTAATCAAAATTTGAAATTCTTTTTGGAAACCACGGACGCTGCGTCCAGCTTGTTATCAGCGCTCAGTTCAAAAGCCTGCATCTCTGATCGTATGGGGTTGCATTAATGCCTATGGCGTGGGCAGCTTACACATCTGGAAAGGCACTAACAATGCTGAACAGTACATAGAGGTTTTAGAACAACATATGATCCCATCCAGACAACGTCTCTTTAAGGGAAAGCCTTGCATATTTCAGCAAGACAATGCTAAACTACATACTGCATCCATCACAATAGCATGGTTTCGCAGAAGAAGAGTCCGGGTGCTGAACTGGCCGGCCTGCAGTCCAGACCTTTCACCAATAGAAAACATTTGACGCATCATGAAACGAAACATCTGGCAAAGAAGACCCAGGACTGCTGAGCAGATTGAATCCTACATCAAACAAGAATGGGACAACATTCCTCTCCCAAAACTCCAGCAATTGGTCTCCTCACTTCCCATACATTTACAGACTGTTGTTAAAAGAGGAGGGGATGCTACACAATGGTAGTCCAAACTTTTTTGAGATGCGTTGCTGCCATCAAGTTCTAAATGAGTTAATATTTTTCATGAAATGGTAAAATGTCTCACTTTTAACATCTGATGTGTTCTATGTTCTATTGTAAAAATATGGGTCTGTGCAATTTGCAAATCATTGAATTCTGTTTTTATTTACATTTATTTGCATTTTACATGGCGTCCCAACTTTTTTTGAATTGGGGTTGTAGATAACTGCAGCTTCCTTCATCTCAAACAATACCGTACACAATAAACACACAGGATTTATACACAGTAACAACACTTTTAGAAATGCTGTGGTGCTTGCTCACCTTCGAAGAGTAAAATCCAGAAATTATCTATTAAATCTACAATCTATAAAAAATCTACAAAACATTTTCCAGCAATGTTATTGTAGAAAAACATAATATGCACAGTTCAACTGAGAATCCTTCAGGTGGGAATCAAGGATGGGTTCTGTGTAAAACGCTTAAAGAAAACTAACTGAAACACTTAAAGTGTTACTTTAATACTGATTCTCATTTTTTTTTTAGGTGTGTGGACCCGTCCAGAGGCTGAGGTGTTTCGGGATGTAGCTCTGGCCATGGGGATCCCTGAGGACAGGATCCTGCTAGAGACAGCAGCCACGAACACGGGGGAGAACATATGCTTTTCCTATCAAACTCTTAGAGAAAACGGAATACCAGGTATGTCCACAGTGATGAAACCCACCAATACTGATCTCCATTCAGACCAACCCAACCTCCACCAATACTGATCTCCAGACCAACTCAACCCAATACTGATCTCCTTTCATACCAACCTAACCTTCACCAATACTGAACCATCTTACAATCAGACCAACCGTGTGTTCCAGCAGTACTGAATTCCAATAAGACCAAATCAACCTTCCACCAATACTGATCTCAAATCCAACCAACCAAGCTCCACCAAGACTGTCCTCCAATCAGGCCAACTTAATCTTCCACCAATAATGATCTCTAATAAGACCAAATCAATCCAATCTCCACCAATACTGATCTCCAATCAGACCAACCTAAACCTCCACCAATAGTGATTTCCATTCAGGCCAAATCAACCTCCACCAATACTGACCTCCAATCAGACCAACCTTTTCTTCTACCAATAATGATCTCCAATAGGACCAAGTCAACCTCCACCAATACTGATCTCCAATCAGATCAACCTAAAGCTCATACAGCTCTCTCCACAGTTTTAAGATGCTCGTGTATTATTCTTCCACTAGAGGGTGGTGGAGGATCAGAATGTATTTCTGTGCTTTTCAAAAATGTTCTTGGCAAAATGTTTTATGTCCAGAATTGAAAGGTATGCAGAGAACTTCTATTCTATTCTATTCTATTCTATTCTATTCTATTCTAGATGTGTCTATTCCATTCTAGTGTAGTTCATCTAGTTTATTCTATTGTAGTATTTTTATTGTTGATGTTGTTTGTATTATGATCTGCAGTGAGGAGGCTGATCCTGGTGCAGCAACCCTTTATGGAGAGGAGAGTCGAGGCCACTTTCCTCCAGCAGTGGCCCGGACCCTTGGAGGACACACACTGCATCATCACCTCACCACTTATAGACATGAGTTCATACCCCAACCCTGCTGTGGGCACCATGCAGCAGCTAATCAGCAACATGCTAGGTACTGCATGCATTTAATACAGAGATGCTAGATTGTAGGTTTGGTTTCAGAAATAGATGCTATGAAGCAGCCTAAGGATCCATATCCATATGCCAGTTGTGTAATTCTGTGATTAAGCTATTAAATGACACAGAACATTATAATTACGTATTCATAGTAAGTTAAATGGTGTGATTGCACTTTGCTGATGTGTTTTGTAGGCGCCGTTGAGCGGATCCGGGATTATCCTGACAAAGGTTTTCAGGTGAAGCAGGAGATTCCTCCAGAAGCTCTGAAGGCCTACTACTGGCTCCTGCACGCTGGATACAGCCCTCAGTGACTATACACAAACCACTCAAGCTAAAGTGCAGATTCATCAAAAGATGAAGGACATAAAGTTCATAATATAGTAACAGTGTGTGTCTGTTATTGATGTGGGTTTTGTCATCTGTGTTGTCTTTTGCTTATTCAGCTTTGCAGCTATGATTCAAACAAACTGTGCAGGAGCTGAATGAGTTCAGGTGTGTTAAAACAGGATAAAAACTCAAGAACTCTACAAATCTGCCATTTATACCTCTGAGATTTCATACTTTTAAATTGTCAACTACAACCCCAAATCAGAAAAAGTTGGGACGGTATGTTAAATTGAAATTAAAACTGAAAACAATGATGTGTAAATTATTTTTGACCAAAATTACATTGAAAGCAATACAACAGCACATTATTTGATGTTTTACCTCATGAATTTATTTATTTATTTTTTTTAAATAAACACATTTCAAGTTTGATTCTTGCAACATATTGTAAAAAAAACGTTGGGACGGTAAAGCATTTACAACTTTGTAAACCCTTTGATTGATGACAACAAGTGGTAAAGTGTTTTTGTCCCATTGTTTCTGCAAACAAGTGCTCAACAGTACGGGGTCTTCATTGTCGCATTTTGTGTTTTGCAATGCTCCAAACATTCTCTATTGGGGACAGGATCGTTACTACAATGAATTCCCCCTAGATTCCTTGAATCTTTTAACTATGTTATGCAGCATAGTGGCTGAAACATGCAAATCCCTTCCTATCTTTATTTGAGGAACACTTTTTTTTAACATATCAAAACTTGTATCATGCATTTGTTGGCAAACTGATGATCCTCAGTCTGTCTTTGCTCCTAAAGGACTAGGCCATTCCTGGATGCTGTTTTTGTACCAAATTATGATTACAATCAGCTGTTGACATCATCTGATTCAAACTACATCATTATTTAATCATTTTACTTCATTACTAGCCCTAAATTGCCCTAACGTTTTGAACGCATTGCAGGCCTGAATGGCAGGAATGAATGTATATAACAGAAATGAAGTTGACCAGACAAAACATGAAATATCTTGTGGTGTTCATACTGTCTGCAATGAAACACAAGTCAAAGTAAATTTTAGAAATCACTGCTTTCCTTTTTTTAAATTAAGTTTTCCATACTGTCCCAACTTTTTGTAATTTGTGGTTGTATTATGATCTTTAAAAAGATAAGGAATAAAATAACTACAGTATATTATTTTTGACTTACTAATATAGTCATCTTCATTACAGTTACAAAAGTATCAAAAAGCAGGTTCTGAAGGAAATAGTAAATTGATTAAATTGCATTGATATTGTTTTTTATGCAAATTTAAAACAACTGAAAGTTTAGTGCTCAAATTAGTATGTGTAATCTAGATTCAGTAACTACATATCAGCTCTAATTAATTTTTGCACTCACTTAGCTGTCAGCTCTCAAGTTTTGTAAAAAGTTTCTCAACATAAAATTTTGCAAAATTCTGGTGTGCTACACAGAGTCTCCACAGTAACAGCCCAAACTAACCATAACTTTTGAACTATTTAGGCTAGATACATGAAATTTCAGAGTTGATTTAAGGTGTGCTTAACTTCACTTAAACAGAAGATACAGATGTGCATGTTTGCCTTTTTATAGCTTGCTGAAAATCAGGGGGAAAAAATTGTGCTTTGAAAATTTGGCTCTCCAAATTGGATATCCCCAAAATAATCCACATCAGATCTTTCAAATTTTGATATTTATTTCAAACAGATTGTTTTTATGAACAAGATATTTGTCTTATAGTAATAAAGGTTTTTCATTCATGAAAAGTAAAAAAAATAAATAAATAAATAAAAAAAACACATATCTACATTTCACATGCATGTTGCTCTTGTCTGATTAGGGTTAACTTCCTGTTGAAAGTTGTGCATTAGGGTTTGGTTTAGATCAGAAGGCTAGAGTTAAGTTTAGACTAAAATTACTATCTGGTTTAAACTGTGAAAATGAAAAAGGCCTGACGCTGATTTTTAGTATATGTAAAAGTTGAATTGATACATTTTGATTTTGCTTGTCTGAACTATTATTCCTTTGCTTTATTTTAGTCAAAGAATTTATTTGACTTGAATAAAACCAGTTAAAGTACTTGTAACCACAGGCTGTACACCTTTTATGACAAAATATTTTTTATAGCATAGGTGTCAAAGTTTACTAATCAATGTTGAGGCAAGGACCAAGACTTCTGGCAGAATATGCTATGGACAGTCAAAGATAGAGTTGGCCATAGTACCTGGGGCCATGTTTGGTGAAAACCAGAGACTGTGTTTGATCAGAAGAGCCTCATGCCAACTATAAATGGTTATGGTGTGGAGCTGCTTTGCTGGCCAAGTTGCAATTAAAGCATTGATGGTGAATTCTCTTTCATATCAGAGAGTGATGGAGGGGAACGTGAGACCATCTGTAAAAAAAAAAAAGATAGCTGAAGAAGTGGACCTTCCAATAGGATCCCAAACACACAAGAAAATCCACCAAGGAATGGCTCAAAGAGAAGAAATGGAGTCAAAGCCCAGATCTGAATCCCACCCTAATGCTGTAGGGGGATTTGAAAACAGCTGTACATGCAAGAAGCCTCTCAAACAAAGAATTCTGTTAAATTGGGCAAAAACTTCTCTGAGTAGACGTCGGAAACTGGTGGACAGTTAGAGGAAACAGCTACATAAAGCTGTTTCTGCTAAAGAGGGCAGTACCAGTTACTGAAGCCAGGGGTGCAGTTACTTTGATGCAGTTACTTTGATATGATATTTCAAACAATTTATTTTTAAACAAATAATTGCAATGTCAAATTTCTATTACATAATGTTTATCGCTGTTGTCGGAGCAAAACCTCATATCTCCATTTTTATTGTTTTTCAGTTTTTTGACAATTTAAAAAATTTGGAGATACAAGGTTTTGTTCAGACAAAAGCGTGGTCTATACATACTGTTTAACTGCAGATCAAATACTGATATGTCCACATATGTCAAACAACGATACACATTTCATGGGATGTACTTACTTCTTCACATGACTGAATTTAAAGCAAGGAAATGTAATGCATTACTTTTTAAAGCATTGACAAAACAAAGAGTTTTGATCTTTAAAAACCAAAACTATTTTCCAAAGAAATCCAGCCCTCACATGCATACAGACCACAGTGAGGGGACAAAAAGCCTCATGTAGAGTCTTGGATAAGTCAGCATGCATTTTTAAGCAAAAGTAATGACACAGCAAAAGTGACAACACGACTGAACGTTAATTAAACAACAGCTGAACTGAATTTAATTTAGATGACAAATAATGGAAACCAAAATGACTTTGAATAAAGTTTACAGAAAACAAAGCTAAACAATGAGGAATCTTGTGCTTCTTCTATGAAAACAGCCAGAATCCTCTCTAATGCACTTTACCGTTTGAAACGAATTTGTATTCCAGTATCTTCATTTTAAATATCAGCAAATGAACCTGTAACATGACAAAAGCGAGTGTTGTTTGTATTGATACTCTGTTAAAATGCAGTTATGATTTGATATCTTGTTTATATGATATATATTGTGTGTGAGTGTCTTACTGCAGACGTACATGGTTAATGTAAAGTACAATGCAGATCACAGAAGTCAGCACTGTTTAGTTACATTTGTAACCTTTAATACAACAACATACAACTGAACACATTGGAAAAGAAATACAAATAAAAGCATTTTATTGTTCATATGTTGTGAAAATATATTTGATAAATATTGTTGGAATATTTTTTTTTTCCATTTGGGTTTGCTGATCTCTATTCAGGTACTGGTTTCATCATGGGAAGATGGAGAAAATTTAATGCTCACAGTTCAATGAAATGTGACAGTTTTGCTCATATTTGCGAGCGGGTAAGTATATTGTATTATTTTTTGCTGCTACAAAACGAGTGCTTAATTGTGAGCAGATTCCTAAGGATGTGACTGAGATGGCAGATGTCTTGTGGCTTTATTGCAAACTAGGCTAACCACTGTTGCTGAAGTCCAGCAGGATAGTGGAAATGACAGACTAACATGTTGGCATATGGTCCACTAAGGAGAAAACACTTTGTATAGAATATGATGAGTCCTCATCAGCAGCCAGCTCTAGCGTTAACTCCTTAGCTCATCTGAAGAGGCAGCCTCAATTGCGCATTCAATGCAAAAACCTTCCCTCAGCGGTTAATGAAAAATGAAAATTATTTTCAAATGTATTCCTCTCTGTGGTGCTACATTTTTGAGCTGATGTTTTTCTACCTTAAGACCAATGTCATCATCTAAAGCAACCTAGTTTAAGAGTCTTTGGTGTTCAAGTCAAAGTCGAGTTGCAAGTCTTTTTTGATTTTGTCAAGTCATTGAATTTGTGGCTCAAGTCCAATTCATGTGACTCCACAACTCTGGAAAAGTACACTCATTTCAAAAAGAAGCATGTTGAAGCTGCACTTTGCTGCATTTTGGAGACCTCTCTGGTGGAAGTGCATAATTACATGCAGTGTGCGGAAGAACATTTTGTAACGTGGGATGTGTGTTGGCCCTTTTCCTTGGGTGGATGAATCTGATTATTGAAGAGTATTTAAACTTAGTCTAAACTTGATGAGGGAGGCCTCTTCTGAGGTTGTGAGTGAGTCATCTATTGTTGTCATCATATCATCATCAGTAAAACGTTGATGAGATCATTTGAGGCCTATTACAGCTAAGACCCCCAAACATACGATAACCCCAATTCTAAAATATATTTCAGTTTAACTGTGTTTTTTGGTGATCAACTTTGCGGTTGACAATAAAATTGTCAGCCTCTTTTCACTCATCAGTATATTTTGATTCTTATATATTTTGATTCTTATGATATTTATATTCTTTGAGCATGTTTGGTTCAAACAACATAGAATTTGCTGATGCTGGAACAAAACCTTGTGTCTCCAAAATGATAACCTTACAGGAGAAGGAAAAAAAACATACTTTACATTTAATGTAAAATGGAACCAGAATTTTGTTCCATTTCTTTAGTTCCATTCATCATGAAATTCAAACGCATTGTAAAGGACAACAGGCATTTTCAAATTATGTCAAAAACAAGGTTTTGTTCTGACTGCAGTGAGTTCATAGGTGCTGGTCACAAAGTTTATTATTTATTATTATAAGCAAATATGTGTTAGTGGTTTGTATAAAAAATAATCATGCTCAAATAATTTTAAAATTATTTAGCAAAAAATTTAATATGTTAGGTTGTGCCTATAGTCATAAAAACAGACATACAGATATAGATCACTGTACTTTATTAAGCCGTGAGAGATTATTTGCGAAAAAACCACTAGATGTTATGTACATAATAAATATACAGGCAATTACATCCACTATACATATTTACATTACATAATGCAACACATAAGACTTCATTTGCTTCTATTATATATAATATATATATATATATATATATATATATATATATATATATATACATATGTAAACTAATTCACTACATATAAATTCCTCTTCAGTCGAGTGATGAGTGATCTCAGGTCTGCAGCCATGGCTGCTTCCTAATCAGATCATTTCATCACTGTTTTTGTCTTTCACAGTTGCTGTAAGTCTTTATAGTGTTTTGACCTTCACTTACTTTGCAGATTACTTCATTAGATCAGGTCTAGATACTGACTAGTTTTACAGGTGTAGTCCTGGAGATATTTTGGACTTTGAATCCAAATTCTGTATTTGTTTTGAGGATTGAGCACAGACATTGTAGATGTTTTGGAGTTAGAGTTCAGATGTTGGTGCTGTTTTAGGGCTTAAGTCCAGATGCCAGAGCTGTTTTGGAGTTTGAGTCCAGATGCTAGAGCTGTTTTAGAACTTGAGTCCAGATGCTGGAGCTGTTTTGGAGTTTGGGACCTGGTCCTGGAGATGTTTTGGAGTTTGAATCCAGATGCTGGAGCTGTTTTAGGGCTTGAGTCCAGATGCTGAAGCTGTTGTGGGACTTTGAATCCACAGCCTGTATTTGTTTTGATGATTTATTGCAGATGTTGTAGATGTTTTGAAGTTTGAGGCCAGATGCTGGAGCTGTTTTGGAGTTTGGCTTTAGGTTCTGGAGAAGTAGAGGAATTTGACTGGAGATTCTGGAGATGTTTGAGTGTGAATGCCGAGGCTGGAGAAGTTTCAAAGTTTGAGATTGGAGAATTGAAGATTTTTTGTAATTTCAATGCAGATCCTGGAGGTGTTGTGGATTTTGAGTGGAGTTATGGAGTTTGAATCTGGATCCTGGAGATATGTTGGACTTTGAATCCAAATTCTATATTTGTTTTGAAGTGTGAGACCTGATCCTGGAGTTGTTTAGGAGTTTGAATTCCAGATGCTGGAGCTGTTTTGGAGTTTATGTCCAGGTTCAGGAGATAGTTTGAAAATAATACACAGAATGATGTCATAATACAATTAATGTCCAGAATGAAATTCTAGTAAAATACTCACAGATAGGTTATAATGAAATTAATATCCAGAGTACATTACAGTATATTAATAATTAATTAATACATTTTTTGTTATTTCTGTAATTAAACATTTGAAAAGTGATGTTTATGACATCTACAAAAAACAAAATAATACATAACACACATACCCTGTAACACATTGTGTAAAATATTATTACTTTTGTTTTGCATATAAATTAACAAAAAATATGATTATGACTAATAACTAAAACATTTAAAATGTACTGAATACTGATCATAAATATAATGTAAAAACACTGCATCATACCCTTTTCAGCAGACAGTCACTACCGTCGGTTCCTGGAGCTTCAATATTATAATGAATCAGAGAACATTCTGAACCCTGTAGTTCCCTTATCATTGGTTTGTCTTTCTTATGTGTGCAGGAGAACAATGAGAACGTCACCAGCAGGATGCCTGTTGTTCAAACACACACATAGAGGAGGGGCACTTAGTCTTCAAACATCTCAACAGGAACTTATTGCACATGAATATGCATTAAAAATGTTAAAAAAGCAAAAGTTTGAATATTTAAGAACAGCTTATATCAGTATTCGCAAGATGACACTGTACTGATATGAGGAAAGACACAGTCGGGTAGATAAAGAAACTGCAAAGTTACCACAGCAACATAAAGAACTACACAAATTATATACAGCTGAATGCAAAAGTTGATAGACAGATCACATGAATGAATGACAGCGCATTCTCTTACCCAGCAGCACAGAGATCAGGATGACTGCAATGGCGGCGAAACCGAGCTGCACTGTAGGTCCTTTTCCACTTCGGCCACTGTATGCTATAGAGCAGTTATAAACGCTGACGGTCAGATGCTGGACTGAGAATTTCCCCTTAGAATCTGCAATCTTCACCCTGAGATCATAATGACCTGAATGCACACTGCTGTCTTTCACCAGAGACACAGTCGTTCCTGTACAGAGAAACAGACAGACTACAGTCAGCAACCGTACACCTGTACAGTGGAGCTATGAGCTAGGTATTTCTAATAAAGTGGCCACTAAGTGGAAGCACAAGGTGAGTGTTTTTAATAAAGTGGCCAGTGAATGTAAGTACAAAGTGGGTGTTTCTAATAAAGTGGCCAGTGAGGGAAACTAAAAGCAAATATTTGTAAAAAGTTTATGTAAAAAAAACAATATACACAGTCATTTTTACATCTGGAAGAAATAGAGCCTGTGTTTCTGCAGTATTTACCAATGCTGGGTTCAATCCTCCATTTCTCCTTCACATCCCCAAGGAGCTCGTAGTTGAAGGGGCCGCTGAATGGAGGCAGGTCCAGATCCACAGCGGTGATGTTCATGACCGTGTCAGATAAACACATACTAAGTGTGTTCACCTCCAGTACAGGCAGATTATCATTCTGGTCCAGCAGGTGGATGACCAGTGTTCCTGTGCCCGTCATTGGAGGTTCACCTGCAGATCAGTGAACAGGAGTGAAACGTGATTGGCTTGTTCGGTAATGGAAACTTCAGGATGTGTGATTGAATGAACTACACTATGTACTAGAGAGTACTAGAGTACTGTTTCTAAGTTTATAATCACTGTTTTTTTCGCAAATACAGTTTGATTCTAATGGGATGCTGGTACAACTTTACAGGTTTTAAAACATTAGTAGGAAGGTGTAAAAACTAAAATAAATTGAGATTAAGAACAATGATGAACAGAGCTGTAGAAGACTCTTCTGAAAAAACTGAAGATTGAAGTTTTAATAAACAATGTTCAGAATGAGGTTCTTATAAACCCAGAATTAAACAATTACAATTTATTGTTTAGTACTTAAAAACTTCTTAAAAATTTTGAATAAAACATAAGAATGCCTGGCAATGGTTTGTTTATACTACTGAAAACTGTGTTCTTTAAGTGATTATTGAATATAAAAACAAAAATTAGCATTCTAACTTTTGAACAGTAGCATAAGTTTGAGAGAGATTTATTTTTAACTGCTGTGAAAAATAAATAACAATAATATGCTTTATTTAAAAATGCTTTTTTGTGGCCATAAGGAGTGTGTAGAGAGTAATGCAGTCTAAAAACTCAAATCTACCGTGCAATTATTAAATAAAAACAAAAGAAATCCTGTATTGAAACATGAATACTGTAAACATTAGAGCTGTGGAACCTCTTACCTTTATCAGCCACGTACATGGTGATGGTGTAAACGCTATCTTTGACAAAAGGTGATTCTCGATCCAGAACTTTTACTGTGGACACTTGGCCTGTCTCTGAGTTCACAGTCACCCAGTTATCTACATCTTCTCCTTTAAAGAACCTAGAGACAGAAAGAGAGACAGAAAGAGAGAGAGAGAGAGAGAGAGAGAGAGAGAGAGAGAGAGATTAAACCACTTCCTTGAAAAAACTTGTTTTAGCAGGTGTGTAATGTGTAGTGTAGTGTGCATTGCTGATTTATTCTGAATAACTGAAAAGGCCAAGGAATCCAAGACGGAAGTCAACTCATGCTTCACTTACTGCAGCAAAGCCTTCAAAGACTTTTGAGGATAACTTAGAGGCAAAGAAAACAAAAAAATGGATTCTTGACCAAACAAAGCCTCATCTCTCGCTCAAAGCTCAGATAACCACACCGAAGCTCTTATTTTAGACATACAATATATGGACAAAGGTATTGGGACACACCTTTTAATCACTGAATTCCGGTGTTTCATTCAGTCTCATTGCCACAGGTGTACAAAATCAAGCACCTAGCCATGCAGTCTGCCTTTACACACATTTGTGAAAGAATGGGTCGTTCTAAAGAGCTCACTGAATTTGAACATGGGACTATAATAGGATGCCAAGTGAAATTTCTTCCCTCCTAGATATTCCACGATCAGCTGTGAGTGGCATTATTGAAAAGTGGAAGTGTTTTGGAACCACAGCAACTCAGCCACGACGTGTCAGACCATGTAAAGTTACAGAGCAGGTTGCCGAGTGCTGAGGAGCATAGAGCATAAAAGTCACCAACGCTCTGCTGAGTTCAAACCTCCTCTGGCATCAACATCAGCACAGAAACTGTACAGGAGCTTCATGGCATGGGTTTCCATGGCCATGCAGCTGCATGCGAACCTTACATCACCAAGCACAATGCCAAGCGTCGGATGGAGTGCTGTACAACTGCCGCCACTAGAGTCTGTGGCAGTGGAAACGTATTCTGTGGAGTGACGAATCACACTTCTCTATCTGGCAGTCTGATAGACAAGTCTGGGTTTGGCCTGACTGCATTTTTCAGGGGTTTTTCTACGCTTTTTAGTTCCAGTGAAGGGAAATCTTAATGCTTCAGCAGACCAAGACATGTTGGACAATTGTATGCCTCCAACTTTGTGGGAACAGTTTGGGGAAGACCCTGTTCTGTTCCAACAGGACTGAGCCCCAGTGCACAAAGCAAGCTTCATAAAGGCATGACTGGGTGAGTTTGGTGTGGAAGAACTCACAGAGCCCTGACCTCAACCCCATCAAACACCTTTGGGATGAACCAGAATGGAGATTGTGAGTCAAGCCCTCTTGTCCAACATCAGTGTCTGACTTCACAAATGCTCTTCTGGTTAATGGGCAAAAATTCCCACAGACACACTCCAAAATCTTGTAGAAAGCTTCCCAGAAGAGTGGAAGCTATTATAGCTGCAAATGGGGACCAACTCTATATGACAGTAATAATATAACGGCAATAATAATAATAATATGTAGTAATCTGTGTGCCTAGAACAACACATTTTGGTTAATCATTAGATTGAAGCCAAAAAAATTCATCATTAACATGGACAAAATTCTGGCTTCAGTATGAATTGATATTGTTTTTAGCTTTATGCTAACATACTTTAGTCCATGTTTATAGATAATAGTGAGTCACAGTGTCAGAAACCATGTAATCAAGTCTATTAAAGATACTGAACATCTCCACATGATTTTAGGCAGGTTTGTGAAGATTTAGGTCTGCAGGTAGCACCATGCTAATTTGTGGTTAGCTACATTAGCTAATAAGCTTGTAGCTCTAGGGCTGAAACTAAACAGGCAAACTCCAGACGTCAAACATGTTCTGGCTGTTCAAGTGCTGTTTAAACTTGATGTTTGGCTGAACTATCACAGTTATCTTTTACCTGAAGCCTGCAGGTGAGCTGCTATCCTGGTCTGTTGCGGTAAACGTCCACAGGATCTGTCCAGCTGTGGCGTTCTCCATGACGGTCACGTGTTCTACAGCGTGTGTCAGCTCTGGAGGGTCATTAACGTCCTCCACGGTGATGGTGATGGGAAAGCTCAGCAGAGTAGAACTGGAGACGTCTCTGAAATAATCCACATCCCACAGGCTGCCGCTCCGCCGCTGCTTTACTTTACAGGAGAAGAGCGGCTCCTCGTTCTCCACACTGACCGACAGGGTCAGCTCAGGGCTCTCCTCAAAGTCCAGTGGCTACAGAAGAAAGAGTTGCTGTTACATTCTCCATAACATCGCTGTTAAATCCAAATCTCATAACTTCCTTTTTTAAACTTCTTTACATCATTTGGAAACAACAGTTCTGTACACTGCGGGGGAACATGTTTTATATATATATATATATATATATATATATATATATATATATATATATATATATATATATATATATATATAATGGTCACTTTACAGGAAAAGGAAAAAACCTACTTTACTTTTAATGTAAATCAATGGAACCAGATTTTTTTCCAAGTCATTTTGACCCATTTCTTTTGGTCTATTTATCATGTAAATTCCAACATAATATAAAGGGCAACAGGCATTTTCAAATTATGTCAAAAACTGAAAAATGGAGATACAAGGTTTTCTTCCAACAGCAGAGATGTAGATGAAATAAAGATTCTAAGTGAAATAAATGTGGTTCCCAGCTTAGTCATATGGTTCTAGGAAAAACATTCAATTGGTATAGAACCTTCACACTTATTTTTGTGAAACTTATTTTTACTTAGATAATTAACAAAACGTGGAATTTGGCCAGCATTTTCAAACTTCTACACATGACTGTATAATCCACACCTTTAACAAAGCTTTAAAAAGCTAAATAAATAAAAGTGCTCTTACCGAAACTACAGATATGATCCCATCATTAGTTGTCAGATCGGTCTCGATCTTAAAGTTCTTTTCTTTTTCTCCATGAAGAGTGTATTTAGCTCTCCAGCCTGCGGACCCTCGGTGGTCTTCATCTTTTATCTCCAGTCTGTAAACAACCACTCCGTTCTCCCTTTCCTTCACTCTTCCACTGCCCTGTCATCCATCACCACAAAACAATTCAGTAAATCAAAATACCTTCCATACATGAAAATGCAGCTCAAGTGCATCACAGTAATAAAACAGTAGTAGTAAAACATAAAGACAACTAAAATAAATGTTGGTCAACAGAAGCAAAAAGGTAATATTAGGTTTATAGTCAGTTTTGCTCACCGTTTTGACAGAGAGTTCCGGTTTGTGGTCGTTGCTGTCGATTATGTTCACTGTAACTGTAGCCGTGCTGGACTGCTGCACATGTTCTCCATGATCCTTTGCTTCCACTACTATTGTATACTTCTGGGCCTCCTTCATTGAAATAATACAAGAAGTGAAATTAATTCTCCATAAAATCAAAATCTGAAATCTAAAAATTTACAATCAAACCTACCACTAAACTAACAGACAAACAAAATCAGCACAACTTTAAGTTAGACAAACATGTCCAACTTACATGCTTGTCTGATTTTGCCAATATTCTTAATTTTCTAACATTTTCACTCTGACCTGAAAATTATTCTCAACACTGTAATAAAGCAAATATGCAGACACAACTACGGTAGTCAGCGTCTGTGATAAAAGAATGTAAAGAGCTGCTGCTGTAGAAAAACAATGAAAAAATGAAATCAGCTACCTCGTAGTCCAGACATCCTCTGAATGAGATCCGTCCGGTTTGGCTCTGCTGGTTAATGAAGAACTCAAGGTTTGAGGTTTGTGGAGAAACAGAAAGGATTGTGAAAGTGAAGAGTCCGTTGCCTGTGCTGCTGTCGTCCTGATCCAGCGCTCGCACCGTCACCAAATCTGTACCTGCACACATGCAAATATACAGCTAATATTATATATACATACACTATATATACATTTTTTACTTCTGCTATCAAGTTTGCAATTCAAGGTCTTATTATCACAGTGACCTCTCAGATCTAAGATATAAACATATAGGAAACAGTTTTTTAAGCTAAAGCTAAAGCTGCATGTCTTACCTTGTGGTGTTGATTCTCCTACGCTGGTCTCGTAGCTTGCTTTATCAAAAACAGGAGCGTTATCATTAACATCCAGAACCTGGATTTCCACTTCTAATCTCATGTGCACATTTTCAGAGCTAGTGCATTTCAGTGTGAGCTACAAACAGACACAGCAGATTAAAATGAGCATTTTATTTGTCAGAATAGCAGAGATTTGCTTGACAAAAATGATATTTTTTTTTAATTTATGCATCTGATTGTTCTGAACATTAGGCAATTTTACATGTAAAAAACCTATGTAGTAACTATATATAATATATATATATATATATATATATATATATATATATATGTATATATATAGTTACTATATATATATATATACTATATATATATATATATATATATATATATATATGTTATAAATTTAGAAATTACGAAAAAAATCTTTTCAAAATTAACTTGCACTTATTATAGTTTAATTTGAGATTTTAAAAAATCTTTTGGATCATGATTTAAAAATACAAATGATCTGACAATTTGTTTTTCCTAATGAAACTTCATAGGAAATTATTTCATCAAATACTTCAACAAAGTAAGGTCTTCCAAAGCTATGAATTATATTTTTAAAAATTTTACGTAAAAAAATTACCGTGAAATTCTTGTTTTTCTCATAGTCCACTTTTTCATTGACCTCAATAACTGCACGGTTCTTGTTGAGCTGAAAAATGTCCATTGGCTCCTCATCAACGCCGGGTCCAGAGAGGAAGCATTCAGGAAGTGAATCTTTCTCCACATTTAGCTGTTGAAGACAAGAGCATGGAAGAAAAGTGAAGCTAGTTGTAGTAAATTTATTGACTGCACAGGAAGGTGATTCTTCCCTGAATCAAACTGACTTAAAATAATGATGACAATAACTACACAACACTGTAACGCTGCAGAACACACAGGCCTCACACTAAATAATCACAGGTCTAATTTCATGAAATACTTTAAACCCGCAAGTGATTCAGCTAAAAGTCCTAAGCCAACAGCTCTAAATATCTGAAATGTGTCACATTTTTGTGTTTTGCTCTGCTGATCTAGATCAGAAGTGAACGGTGGCTACTTACATTTACTCCACATACTTAAGTAAACATTTTGATGAATTTATATTTTTTGTGTATTGTCAAATGACAGTACTTCTTCTTGTACTTAAGTACAGTGAGGTCCAAAAGACTAAGACCACACTGATAATCTGGGATATTTTTCATTTGAACCAACAAAGTTTTAGAATTGTGTTAAATTTAAAACAAATAACAACTATGACAAGTATTTAGTATATATTTAAGTATATATTTAGGTTTCTGCACTATTTCTTAAGGTTAACTTCAGCACATTTAGGACACTCACCTTGTGAAGGCCGATTTGTTTTAGTTTAATCTCTTTGATTCTCATGTTCAGATGACTTTCAGGTGGATTTGCTCTACTTGTTATGATTGTTACGATGTCAAGCTTATCATAATAGAAGAACCTTTCTGGAGCTATATAGAACACTTTTCAAAAAGGTTCTATATAGAACCTTATACAACACATACTCCATCAATGTGAAGAACCATTTCATGCAAAAAAAACCTTTTATCATGCAAAAGGTTCTTTGAGTATTCTTGGCTCTATATAGAGCCAGGTGCTTTACTAAAGAACCATCTTTTTAAAGTTTGTAGGTCCCTTAGATCCAAGGCCTCTTTTTGCGTGCCTATGAATGAGCTCCTTGCACTTATTCTAATTACATGTTTTATTACACACTTCTATAATCCAAGAACAGCTCAGTCAGTTTGCACTGAAGTCCCTGTAATTACTGAATAATAAGCCTAAGTATGTAATAAGCCTGAGATTTAAAGGGGTTAAATTAAAAATCACTTATTATTAGACTGAAAAAATCTCAAGTGTGATTAGATAAAGGTCCCCTACCTGTCCCAGTGTGTACGGGAAGACCCCATCATGCTCCTCCTCCAGGTTAAAGCTCAAGGGTAAAGAGTCCACTATCCAGGCCCGTTTTTTACGGGGTCTCTTCACTGAGGATGCCGCCTCTGCTGTCCACACCTCCTGCACAAAAAACATCAGTACATCACACAGATTCGGTACATGACTAAATATCCGGCATATGTGAACTAATGTACTGAATGAAGCGTTTTGTACTGTGTTATTATATTATAAATACTACTATATTATTATATGCATTACTGTCTAATAAAACATCCATTATAGACGTTTTATAGATTATCCACTTCTATGCAATAGAAGGACCCTTTTTGGTCAAAGAGGTTCTATATAGAACTATATACAGCTCTTTATCCACTAGTCCAAAGAACCATTTCACCATGCACAGAACCATTTAATCATGCAAATGCTTCTTTGAATGTTCATGGTTCTATGTAGAGCCATTATCTTTATAAAGAATCCTTGAAAAGCCATAAGAGTGTAGATTTGATGATTTCACTCTTTTTTGCAGTATATCTTCATTAAACCCATAACAAGGCAACAATTAGAGATTAATGCCATATTGATTGTTATTATTAAATGGATAACACTTTGTTTGTAGTCTTAATTAGCTCAGAAAACAAAACGAGCTGCGTTACTTTCCTGTTATCAAACTGATTTGAAAAGAACAGTCATTTAGCAGATCAAAATGAAATACTACTTTATGTATGGACAACTATGACTTCAACACATTGTTTACTCACAGTTATTATGAAGAGGATGATGGTAGTAGTGATGAAGGTCCTCATGTTGGAGTGCAGAGTCAGAGTGTGTCCGCTGATCTGAGTGTGAGGGCAGAGGCACAGGGGCATTTAAGAATTGAGGGGGAGGAACGGTCTGATTTTCCTTTGAATTCCAGCAGAACAAATGCTTTCAGCAGGCTTAATCGCTTGAGCGTGCTAAAGTGGGAGGTACAAACAAGTTTCAGTTTCTGTATTTTTCATGTCACGCATCCTAGAGTTATTTAACGTATCCCTCAGAGTTTAAGCTTAAAAGCAAGGTATCAGTGGTTTTTGGTTTTACTCACACTGGAAAATATATGTATAACATGCATTAAAATGAATAAATGCTGAGACTGTTTTTGCACATTGAAAACACACAAATCATTCATACTTCTCAGAAAAGGGTAGGTTTACTGTTTTGTTGTCTAGTATGACTGAAAATGGTCACACTGTAAAAAATTTGTAAAAAAATTAAACTAGTTTATTCAACTTAAAAACTACATTGATTAAAAGAATTATTCATTTAAAATCTTTATTTAGGTCCAATAAAAGTAGTTAATTTACATGTTACCACATGAAATAATTTTTTGATTCATCTGATGAGCCATTTTTTATGGCGTAGCTGTACAGTTGTACACAAATGTTTGAACACCTCCGGTTAAATGGCATGTTTTGCTGTTTTTTTTTTTTGTTTTTTTTTGGCTAAACATAAAATGAGGATGTGCTACATTTGATTTTTTTTCTTTTTTTTTTTACAGTGTTAAATTCAGCAAATAAACAGTAAAATGTGCAGAAGTGTGTGGGGTGCCCAAACTTTTGCAAATTGATGTACATACATTTCTCGGTAACACTTTACTGTAGGGTGGTGTTCATAAGGCTACATAAATATCCAAGTTTCACACACACACACACACACACACACACACAACTTCTAAGCCACTTATCCTTCTGGGTCACGGGGGGAGCTGGAGCCTATCCCAACAGTCATTGGGTGGAAGGCAGGATACATCCTTTACAGGTCACCACTCCATCGTAGGGCAGACAGGCAGACAGACATATACATTCACACACACAGTCACACCTAGGGGCAATTTAGCATGTCCAGTTGGCCTGACTGCATGTCTTCATTCAGCAGCTTGATTTTCTCCTCTTTCTCAAAGATGAAAGCTTTAAGTGCTGTTTATCTAATAGGGGCAGTTTTGGTGTCCACCAGGTCTTCCGAAGGTTGTTAGGAGTCCCATTTTCTCTGTAGCTTTTTGAACTCCAGTTTTGGAAACTCCTGTTTTGTCACTTTGACTTTCTCCTTCCTTACGCAAGCAGGTTATCTTATATCTGATCTCTTCAGAATTATCTCCTGAAAAATTAACAATATGTACTGAATGGCTGTTTTTATAGAAAGCTAAACAAAACAAGGGTCTCAAAAGCAGCATTTGCACAGTACTGTGTTTATACATTAAATGCTTCTAGAGTTTTTAAAGTGTGTATAGTCACACCTAGGGGCAATTTAGCATGTCCAATTAGCCTGTCTGCATGTCTTTGGACTGTGGGAGGAAACTGGAGCACCCGGAGGAAACCCACGCAGACACGGGGAGAACAAACTCCACACAGAAAGGGCCCTGGACGCCCGGCTGGGAATCGAACCCAGGCCTTTCTTGCTGTGAGGTGACAGCGCTACACACTGAGCCTATCCAGGTTTCAGTTCAACTGAATAACAGTTAGGAAGTTAGAAAAAAAACAACAGTCTGTTTTAATGTTAAACTTGTTGTCGGATGTTAAATGAGCTTTCAATTCTATTTTGTAGTTCTGCAAAAAAAACATCGCTGATGGAGAATTTCATGATTACACTGGATCTAATTCTCTGAATTCCTGTGCAGTGACATTAGCAGACTTAAACTTGATCTTCAACCTGGAGTTAAAATGAATTCAGGCACATAAAAAGTAGCAGCTAAACATCCTGAATACAAAGCTTTCCTCATTCCACAGCATCAGGTGGACACAAACACTTTTCCAACAGCTACAGCTTCCACATAGAGTATATTCGGCGATAAATCACAGCAGTGTGCAAAAGTCAGAAACCACAAATGTATTTCATTTCATGTCAAAACACCATGCGCAACCATCTGGCTGGTTTCTCTTTTTTTCTCATAACACTCCTTTTACAGTGTGTCTCTGAAAAACCTCCATTTGGAGGGCCTTGTAGCCCAAACACTTCGCTCTACCCCTCTATCTCAGAATCAGAACACCCTACCCCTAGACGGGAACACACAAAACGGAGAGCTAAGGGCTAAGTGCGAGGGGTGAAATGAGATTGGGCCTAAATGTCATGGGCCATTGTTTTTACTAAATAACCTCTGTAGAATCATCTTTTTTAAGAATGTAGAAGCCTCAACAAAAGATTACACTGGCATAGGAGAAGACACTGAGTTTAGAGGCAATGCTCTTTTATTGAACAGGCAGCATGAGAAAACTGCAAGCTTAGTACTGCTGTCAGTTCTAGCCTTAAATCTTCTCTCCATGGTAAACTCACACAAACAAACCCCAACATGACACGGTAGAACACAACATTCACAGCAACAGCAACAAACCTCCTTCTTAACGGAGGGGGAAATGTGTTTATGTATAGCTTTGCCATTAAAACCTCTTCTAATTCTCTGAGTGTGTGGCTCATGTTGGTTGATCATTTTCTAAAATAATCACATTCAGTGATGTTGAGGTCTGGACTCTGGGGTGGTCAGTCCATTGTTCAGCTTCTTTGTTTGATGTGTCTGTCTCCTTTTCTCAGTGAGGCTTCTTGACAGCTACACATCCTTTCAGACCCGTAGCGCTGAGTTGTCTTCACAGTGGAAGGATGGACAGAAACACGTGTGGATGTTTTCAGATCTAAAGCAGCTTGATTTTCTCCTCTCTCTCAAAGAGGAAAGCTTTAAGTACTGATCTGATGGGGGCAGTTTTGGTGTCTACCTGATCTTGTTGTAAGGAGTCCCATGTTCTCTGTAGCTTTTTGAACTCCAGTTTTGGAAACTCAGGTTTTTTCACTTTGACTTTCTCCTTCATTACGCAACAGGTTATCTTAAATCTGATCTCTCCTGAAAAATGAATAATATGTACCGAATGGCTGTTTTTATCTAAGCTAAACAAAACCAGGGTCTCAAAAGCGGCATTTGCATAGTACTGCATTTATACATTTTTAAAGTGTGTATAGTCAATAATAATAATAATAATAATAATAATAATAATAATAATAATAACAATAATAATAATAATAATAATAATAATAATAATAATAATTATTATTATTATTATTGATATTCAGTAATAACTCATACAGTATAAATTGAAATGCTATAAACTAAACACTAAAACTCAAACCAACACTTTATTTACAGTGTACAGCATTTTAGGAACATCATGAAGTTAGAATATGGTAAAAAAAAAACATATGGAAGCTTAAATGATAAACTTTAAATGTCTATTTATTGTTATTATTACTGTTTAATTAGCAAGATTTGGTTTTCAAATGTGAGTCATTGTGGGTGTCACTTTCTTCATCAGTTCATTCTTAATGCTGTACAGATTCCTCACTTATCATGAAATCACTTACAGCTCCACTTGTCTTCCAGAACACCTTCATTTTTACAGCTTCATACAACCTGTTTAAAACTTCTAAGACTTTAGTTTCATTGTAGAATCATTTCATGCATGTATCTTTAAGGAAATTGGTTTTATGTGAATGAAATCAGTGGCCCAAACTTTTGAGCTGTAGTGTATGGTTTCTTCATTTCTTCATAATTTTATTGGTACAGTAGTAAAGCCGATATGAAGAGTTCAAGCAAATCTACTATTCTTTAAGGTCTCTAAGCAAAACATTTCCTTGTTCATTCCACAGAGAGTGGAGGGGAGAATGAAGGGGCAGTAAAACAGGTTTGGTTGGTTCCTTGGAAAACTGGATTATTCTGACCTTCATTTCGCTGGAAGAGGTTTAGAAAACAACAGGAGAGATAATCTTATCTTCCGAGTAATCACCCACTGACCTGCTGAGCTCAACCAGCTTCTTTAGGTCTGCTGTCACTGTTGACGTCCAGAGTGTAAATATGCCAAATGGCAGTAAAACTAAAAAAGATTATGATTCAAATGCGCTGAGTGGTTGCACATAAATGAAATAAGTTGCACCAGCACCATTGTTTTCTTTTTGTTTACTTGTTACAGCAAGAATTGTGTTGGTGTAACATATTTAACTTATTTCTAAACACCTTTAAATTAAGTAAATTCAAAACACTGTTCACTGTTTTGTTAGTTCAGTGAAATAATGACTGCAATACAAGTAAAAGTTTCCAAAATAGAGCCTGGATACATTTTCCACACACTTAAAAAAGATTATTCTTCAACGCTTCTTTAGTAAAGAAAATGGTTCTATATAGAACGATGAACACTCAAAGAACACTTTGTATATAGAACCCTTTTCAGAAAGGTTCTATTTATCTTCCATAGAACATTCTCCAATAACCTGAAGAACCCTTTCAAAATGCATTTACACATCCAAAGTGTTCTTTCAGTGTTCATTTTGTTACTCAAAAAACCCTTCAATGTTTTTAAGATTGATTCAACTTTCAGCATATAAACCAAACACAGAGTCTTCAGGCACTGTGACCACCAACCATTAAAGTTAATAAGTTAAGAGGTATTTTAAAGCCACAAATTTTGATTTAAATTTTACAACAATCAAAATTGTAAGTGCTGAAACTTTATTAGCAGTTATGATTTTTTAGTTTTACTTTAGCTCACTTAAGGTAAAGACAAAAAATAATGTAAGCTGTTTTATGCAAGTGATTGCAGGTCTTTTAGTCATACCCAGATTCAGAAAACATGTGAACCACTCTGTCTTCATTTAAACCTTTTCTTTGCTGTATATAAACTTTTTGAGCAGGTATCACTGGTGCTTCATATTAATATGGACTTTTGTTTGTGGAATATACAGAAAATTCATTCTCCACAAGGGGGAGCCTCTTATCACTGGAAGAGAAGCTACTGGGAAGCAAAACAGTTCATTACCTCAATGTAAACAAATTACTGTTATTGATTTTATGTGTATGTTTCTACATGTTTTTTGCATTCAGTTATTACAATAAGAGGATACAAGCTAAAGATACAGGCTAAGCAAAGAGAGTAAGCATATATATAAGAATATATATAAGAATATACTGTTGCTCTCAG